GGCCACCGCAGCCTCGACCTGCTGGGCTCTGGAGATCCTTCCGCCTCAGCCTTCCAAGTGGCCGGAATTACAGGCGCGCGCTACCATGCTCGGTTAATTTTTTTTGATTTATTGTAGAGATGAGGTCTCGCTGCCCAAGCGGGTCTCAAACCCGCGGGCTCAGGCAATCCACTCACCTCAGCCTCCCAAAGGCGCGGGATTACAGGCTGAGCCACCGAGTCCAGCTGTGAATTAACTTTTAAAAAAAATTTTTTTTAAGTTAGAGTCTCACTCTGTTGCCTAGGCTGGAGTGCAGTGGCACACTCACGGACACTGTAGCCTTGACCTGTTTGGCTCAGGTGATCCTTCTGCCTCAGCCTTCCAAGCAGCTGGAACTACAGGCACACGCCACCATGCCCGGCTAATGTTTTGATTTATTGTAGAGGTGAGGTCTCATCAAGTTGCCCAGGCTGGTCTTGAACCCATGGGCTCAGGCAAGTGATTTTTTATGAGCCTTAGTTTCCTTATCTATAAAATGGAGATAATAATACCTATACCTCAGGGTTTTCATGAGGCTAACAAGACCTGCCTACAGTTGTGAATCTTCAATACATGATTGCTACTGTTAGGATTAATGCACTCACCTGTGACCTGGAAGGGAGCCTGGATGAGTCGCTGCTGAACTCCCCTGAGTAGCTCCTCTATTTCCTTCTGTATATTGCAGACAACCTCTTCCATCAGTCCTACATCAGCTATTCCTTTCCAGAACATTAAGGTGTCCTCTGGCACAAGAGGGATAAGACAGAGAGTAAATGAGGGATGCCTCATACATACTCAGGCAAATTTCTATAACAATAAATTAAAAATTATTTAAATTCCAAAAGATCTCTTGTTGTATTATTCCTGAGGAAAGGGAAGAAGGTTTTGGAATTCTGGATGCCCTCCTAAGTTGGTACCTAATTATTTGGCCCCTTCAGCAGCATAGGGGATTGGGATAATTGTCTCAGTTTGTCATACTCTCAACTTGTTATGGTTCTGGCTATAAATAACAGGCATCTTTCTCCAATAAAGATATCAAATTTAATTAAATATTTGATATTTAAAATTATTTAATTAAAATTTGAAAATTATATAATATTTAATGTCATAAAAATTAAATAATAAAGATACTAAATTTAATTTTTTTTTTTTTAGTCAGAGTCTAACTCTATTGCCCAGGCTAGAGTGCAGTGGCACACTCACAGCCATCGCAGCTTCAACCTGCTGGACTCAGGCGATACTTCCTTCCAAACAGCTGGGACTACAGGCAGGTGCTACCGTGCCCAGCTGATATTTTTATTTATTGTAGAGACAAGGTCTGGTCATGCTGCTCAGGTTGGTCTTGAACCCCTGAGCTCAGGTAATCCTCTCATCTCTGCCTTCCAAAGTGCTGGAATTACAGACGTGAGCCACTGCACTTGGCTACATTTTTTTTTCTTTTTGAGTTGGAGTCTCATTCTGTCACCCAGACTGGAGTGCAGTGGCCCCTCCCGGCCACCGCAGCCTCAACCTGCTGGGGCTCCGGCGATCCTTCCGCCTCAGCCTTCCAAGTAGCCAGAACTACAGGCGTGCGCTACCATGCCCGGCTAATTTTTGATTTACTGTTAGAGATGAGGTCTCGCCAAGTTGCCCAGGTGAGTCTCGAACCCGTGGGCTCAGGCAATCCACTAACCTCGGCCTCTCAAAGTGCTGGGATTACAGGCTGAGCCACCAAGCCCAGCCTAAATTTTCTATTAATTAATAGAAATACTCCTAGTCCTATACTTAAGAAAATAAAACAAGACAGATAGGTGGGGCTATAAGCTCCCTGAGGGTGGTAGCTATATCTTTCATCTTTGTACCCAGCAACAATGCCAACTAAAAACAAGCAATAATAAACATTTATTAAATGAATTAACAAACAGAAGATGATATGATGCTTCCCTCTCCTGGTCCCCTCTAAGTGAAACATCATTAACCAATACACTCTACAATATCTGCTACCTAATTCTTCCTTCTAACATCTCAAAGCTTGGGAAGCAGTTTGACAGGATGAAAAGCACAGGCAATAGAGTCAAACAGCTGAATTTAGCTCCTGGTCTTAAGTAAATTGCTGAACAATTCTGAATCCCGATTTCCTCATGTGTAAAATGTGTCTTTTGCAGGACCATTGTATGGATTAAAAAGCCGTTTGTAGCTATACTTAGGATTCATTTACATGAGAAAAACCAGCCAAAGTAATTATGATTATGTGCTCATAATCATAATGGTGATAAGGATTATAAAACCCCCCAAAATATCTAAGCCCCACAGAAAAATACCTGAAATTTCCTCTGAGTCTTTCTTCATGCCCTCCTCTGTGGCCATGGTGACAGCAGCAGTGAGAGCCGAGTTCCATTCCAGCCCGGCCTCTTCCATGCTCTCTTCTGAGATGGCAATCTGTGTGATGCTACCTAAAAGCAGTCCAGTAGAGGTGAAACCAGTGAATTTTATAAAAAGTCATAGCCATCCTCTATCTCACACTCACAGCTACAGAGACCTTGTTATTTTAACATTTTGGCCTCTTGGCTACAGGTCCTATCTTAAAAACTAGACTGTTAGGTAAGCCAAGATGAATATTTAATTTTTTTAAGAGACAGAGTCTCACTCTGTCACCCAGGCTACAGTAGAGAGGCATGACCATAGCTCACTGTAACCTTGAATTTCTGAGTTCAAGTAATGCTCTTACCTTAGCCTCTTGCCAAGTAGCTGGGACTACAGGTATATACCACCATGTCCGGCTAATTTTTAATTTTTTTGAGTTGGAGTCTCACTCTGTCACCTAGACTGGAGTGCAGTGGTCACGTTCATGGCTACCACAGCTTCAATCTGCTGGGCTCTGGTGATCCTTCCACCTCAGCGTTCCAAGTAGCTGGGACTACAGGCACACGTCACCACACCCAGCTAATTTTCTTGATTTATTGTAGAGATGAGGTCTTGTCAAGCTGCCCAAGCTGGTTTCAAACCCGTGGGCTCAGGCAATTCTCTCACTTCAGCCTCTCAACGGCTAATTTTTTAAAAGTTTTTTGGGCCAGACGCAGTGGCTCATGCCTATAATCTCAGCACTTTAGGAGGCCTGTTGCCTTGGCCTCCCAAAGTGTTGGGATTACAGATATGAACCACTGTGGCCCACCTGAATCATCTTTCTTTTTTCTTTTTTTTTTGAGCTGGAGTCTTACTCTGTCGCCCAGACTGGGGTGCAGTGGCTGGTCCC